GGGGTCACAAGTTTCGTGCCTATTTTGGGGGTCCCAGCATGAACGCCTGTGTTACAATATCGAGTTTCTTTTATCAGATATTCATATTTTGTATATGTTTTTCCTGTCCTGGACTTGTGAGTGTCAGTTTGAAAAAGAAAATACATGTTTCATACAATACTGGCAATTTACACAGTTCAACACTTGGATTGATAAGTAAACCCCCCACTGTTAGTACAAATGGTAGTGAAAGAAATCCATACTATCTTTTCTCAGTGCTGGTTCTAATGAAGCTGACCTCAGTTCATTCATGTTGCTTTAAGTCTTCCACATGTTTCAGATGGAGGGACGTAGTCTGTGGGGCGCACATTATATACTATGTCTTTTCAACTGACAAAACTGAGGCTGAATGATGCCGATCGGTTCTTTAACCATAATAAAGCAGGATAACCCGTCTACAGGGAGACAGCTCAGCAGCACAGTCCATTACTCAAACTGTTGGGACTCCCATCCTTCCTCAGGGATTGTCAACATAAATTCTGACCTCTGAGGAGTCTTGAGTAAAAGTGCTGAGGGCAGAGCCATGCTTCCTCCGGAGACGATACTGGGTCCACGGCTAAAATGGACAAACAACAATAATAACAAGCTGAGGCTGACTCAAGTTACTCTAGCTGTAATAAAATGGTGCACTTACTGTATGTCCTGACGGGGGTTGGCTACTTTATAATAACGGGCGAGTAATGCAGCACTATGTCCGTACACCGTTTATAACTACAGTAGAACTGTTTACATTTTATACAGCGGCTTAGAAAAGTACATCACTTTTGGTGTCATGTTTACAGCCATGGACAAAAAAAAAAACATCACAACATAAGCCCTGTTTCCACCAGCCCGACTTTGCCCTATTCTAACCTCTATTTAACCGGTGCCTGGTAATTTAAGTATCTGTTTAGTACCTGTTTGGTCCTAGTTATATCCAGGCTGAGCTGGTACTAAACTGATCTAAATGCCAGTGATTGACTAGAGGCCTGCTGGAAGCCATGGATACTGGTTTGTTGTAGGTTGCAAGGATACGGTACCATATGCTAAAGCGTAATGGAAACACAACCAGGTAGAGTAAAGCTGAGTAGGACTGGGGGAATTGTAACAGAAGTGAACGCAAAATGATTTTTACTAGTTACTTTGTGATTTTTCCAACACAACGAGATGTACGAAAGCTCTCTGTATTTCTGCAGGCCCATGTATAATGGCGCAGTATAAACTTTTTTACAAAACGGTTGGAAGTACTTTTAATAATAAATAAGCAGCAGAACTTGGCAACGTATATAAGACCGCAATGTTACGCATGAGTCCACCCAATTAAGGATTGTATAAACATAAATAACATAGAGGGACGGTTTGAAGTGGCACATTGGAAAGTAGACACATTTTCACTTCTACTTACTTAGGAGACTTATTTTGATCCAACTCATTTTGCTACTGGGATGAAGGCCACACCCGTTCAGAAGAGGTAGTGGTCGAAGCCTAAAAAAATTACATTTATTTTACACATTTTACAACCCCACACTGAATTTCCCACAATGTCATCTGTTGTCTATTTCTTAAATGCGAGACAAGAGAAAAATGTTTTGCCTGCTGTAGGTTATAAATGCATGCACCGGGAGGGACAACTTTTCTTAATCAAATAAATGGAAAGACAAACAAATCATTACGAGTAGAGGGCACGACTTTGGGGTGCGCTTGTTTTGGCTGCATAGCTGATCAAGTAACAGGGCTGTGCTAACTGATGCATTATTCACAACAATCAGGGACGTAAGAGCAATTTCCCATTTGGAAATACACGAGACCATGATACAGCAACACATAACACATTTTGGCAAGTTATTGTTACAAATGTGGAGTTCAGAATCAAGCGTGAGTGCTTTGTGCCGTGTTTTGCACGTACAGTGCCTTGCGAAAGTATTCGGCCCCCTTGAACCTTTCAACATTTCGCCACATTTCAGGCTTCAAACATAAAGATATAAAATTTAAATTTTTTGTCATGAATCAACAACAAGTGGGACACAATCGTGAAGTGGAACGAAATGTATTGGATAATTTAAACTTTTTTAACAAATAAAAAGCTGAAAAGTGGGGCGTGCAATATTATTCGGCCCCTTTACTTTCAGTGCAGCAAACTCACTCCAGAAGTTCAGTGAGGATCTTTGAATGATCCAATGTTGTCCTAAATGACTGATGATAATAAATAGAATGCACCTGTGTGTAATCAAGTCTCCGTATAAATGCACCTGCTCTTTGATAGTCTCAGGGTTCTGTTTAAAGCGCAGAGAGAACCATGAAAACAAAGGAAAACACCAGGCAGGTCCAAGATACTGTTGTGAAGAAGTTTAAAGCCGGATTTGAATACAAAAAGATTTCCCAAGCTTTAAACATCTCAAGGAGCACTGTGCAAGCAATTATATTGAAATGGAAGGAGTTTCAGACCACTGCAAATCTACCAAGACCCGGCCGTCCCTCCAAACTTTCATCTCAAACAAGGAGAAGACTGATCAGAGATGCAGCCAAGAGGCCCATGATCACTCTGGATGAACTGCAGATAACTGCAGCTGAGGTGGGAGAGTCTGTCCATAGGACAATAATCAGTCGTGCACTGCACAAATCTGGCCTTTATGGAAGAGTGGCAAGAAGAAAGCCGAAATGGCTTTCAAAGATATCCATAAAAAGTCTTGTTTAAAGTTTGCCACAAGCCACCTGGGAGACACACCAAACATGTGGAAGAAGGTGCTCTGGTCAGATGAAACCAAAATTGAACGTTTTGGCCACAATGCAAAACGATATGTTTGGCGTAAAAGCAACACAGCTCATCACCCTGAACACACCATCCCCACTGTCAAACATGGTGGTGGCAGCATCATGGTTTGGGCCTGCTTTTCTTCAGCAGGGACAGGGAAGATGGATGGAGCCAAATACAGGAACATTCTGGAAGAAAACCTGTTGGAGTCTGCAAAAGACAAGTCAAAGTCCAGACCTAAATCCAATCGAGAATCTGTGGAAAGAGCTGAAGACTGCTGTTCACAAACGCTCTCCATCCAACCTCACTGAGCTCGAGCTGTTTTGCAAGGAAGATGGGCAAGAATTCCAGTCTCTCGATGTGCAAAACTGATAGAGACATACCCCAAGCGACTTGCAGCTGTAATTGCAGCAAAAGGTGGCGCTACAAAGTATTAGCGCAAGGGGGCCGAATAATATTGCACGTCCCACTTTTCAGTTTTTTATTTGTTAAAAAAGTTTAAATTATCCAATAAATTTCGTTCCACTTCACGATTGTGTCCCACTTGTTGTTGATTCTTGACAAAAAAAATATTTCTTATATCTTTATGTTTGAAGCCTGAAATGTGGCGAAATGTTGAAAGGTTCAAGGGGGCCGAATACTGTATCTATTTCAGTCTCTATATATAGACACTGACTATCCCTGTTCAAATGCAATTATCATGACCACACTGCAAAAGCTGATGAAAAAAAGTCAAAACATGTGCTAAATTTGGCAAAATGTGTCTTAATTTGAGCACATTTTGACTGCTTTATAACAGGCTTTGCCAATGGGACGAAGCAAAATGATCATGTTTTAAAAAGTCTCCCTTGGATTCAGAAAATAAAGCAACAGTTCTTAAAATAAAACTTGTCCCAGTGGCAATTCTTGGTTTAAGACAGTCAGAAATTACTCAAATTAAGGTAAAAACCACTCGATTCAAGCAATTATTACCTCATATTTAATCATTTTTTGCAGTGCAGATATTGACTTTGACCTAGACTGGCATTTTGTCACATCTAGACACACAACGTCAAATCCTATGAGCGGCACAGTAGCTTCAAAGTGACAGTGTTTGCTGGTTTTTGGGCCACAGAGCAGGGTTACTTCCCAGATTAAAATATATATCATGAAATTTTTCCTATGAAATGAAAGCGCAAAGCAATTTTATTTAGTCAAACACAAAGTAACACAACAGCAGAAAGATTGCGGTCCGTGTACAGCAGGTCGACAAGTGTGAGATTTGGACATTCAGACAATCGCATCAGTGCATTTTCATTGTAGGAAAAACATATCCGTATTTTGGCAGAATATTACTGATGTTGAGAATTCTAGTATACATACGGGACCATTGAGTGGCAAGCCTGAGCTGGAATAGAACCAAGATTATTTGATTTTTGTTATCATAAATACATACAGAAAAGAAGACTGAGGGAAAAAGAACCAACTAAAGGTTTGCCCTGAAAAAATGGCAGCAAATGGCATTTACAAGTATAGGTCGATCATCCTTCAGTTTGAATGCACAGAGAAATATAGTTTTTGTTTACTTCAATCTAACATTTTCTATTCAGAACATCATTATTTTGGTCTAAAGTTTGTGATGTGTGTTTATGCAGATGTAGGTTTTGTTATCGTCTTGTCTTTTATGTGTATTTTGGGATCATCTTTTTTTGTTGTTTTTGTTCCATGTTTTTATGTGTTAAATGTTAATGTAATATTTTATTTGTTGATTGCTTTTGCCCTTAATAATAAAGGAACGAATCAAAAACAAAAACTGTTTTACCCAATACCGCTGCAATGTGACGGTCCATAGAGTTCCAGGAAGTAAAAATCACTGTTCAAATTCCCTGCAGTAGTTTTGAAAATTCCAATAATCAAGAGTCTGACATAACAAGACATGACAGAGGCTAACCCGCTACTTGCTAATCACTGCGCCGTGGTTTCGGCCAAAAACACCCTTAAACTGTACATTTTTGCAGAACTTTGCAGGTTTTAATATTCTATAAACATCTGATATATAGTCATTCAGATCGTGTGGTCATTTCCTAACTAGATAGATGAGCCCCAATCATTTTTAAGAATCATTTTTGGGGAATTTTACTTCCTGAAACTTTAAGCTCCGCCCACTTCACAGCCCATTATCACGAACAACAATTATCTTGCTCATAAATTGTCAAGTTTCTCCAAGCTTAGTGCGTTCCCAGTCCTGGTCCTAGGCCCCGGCTTGCAGCGGCGTGTCCAGGGCCTGGATGTGGACGCTGGGCAGAGTGAACCAGGCCAGGGGTAAGTGTCTCCCCGCGCCGTCCTCCTGGAACTTAATATTGAGGTAGAAGTCTCCGGTGTAGAGGAAGAGCAGAGCACCGACGCACTCTTGGCTCTCTTTGGGCTGCACCTGGAACAGCGGAATCAGAGGGAAAAGTGAAAACAATCATTAGTTGAACCTCTGAGACCAGGTGCCAGTGCTGTAATGAAGCTGGCAGAGATCTGAGGCCGAGGGAGAGCGCTTTCAAGGCGGCCCCCCAACGGCATTTCATCTGCCAGCGCCTCCTCACAAGAACATTTGCACCGAGCAATCTATCTGCGTTTGTTTGACTCAACTTTGGAGCGGACAAGTTTGACAATTTGGTTTGGATTAAATTGGAAAGATTATACGGAGGATTAATCACAGTCTCCACTCGGTGTTATTTAGATGGCAAAAGAGAAAGTAGATATTGGATTTTACTGATGTGGCGCGTCACACATTGACAATGACTCGCTCATTTTTGTTTGCGACAATACATGTACATGGTTGTGTTTTGTTGCATAAAACAAATACGGGAAAAGTAAACAAAATGTTGCGTAATTACAATTGCAGAGCGTGTGCCTATAAGGTTTGCAATTTTAAATAGGAAGTTACTAGACGCTGTTGAAAGCATCCCAAAGGTCTGGAGCTTCGAGCAGCTTTTCCGCGGCGCACACTGAACCAAAACTGGTTTCAATGCTGCTGTGTGTGTCAGTGTGCTTCCAAAAATAAGGTCTGGGCACTGCACCTGGCGGCACAAATGCTGTCCACACAAGCGACAATTATAAATTAAAAGTATTTAAATCATCAATATTTGATTGTATTTATTATTAAGTATTATTGTGGATGTGTTTTGGCTGAATTTAAAAATAAATCCGAATTGTTTTATTTCAATTTAAAATGCCATTTGATTCAGATTCAGATTCATTTATTAGCCATTTGCAGTAAAACCACATTGGAAAAACTGTGCAAGACTACCCCAGTGTGCACCAGACAGAGAGGACGGCACACACCGGAGCACCATGGTCCTTAGTAAGAGGACCATGGTGCCCCAGACTGAAGGAACTTATGGTCTTTCTGAATGTTGTTTTGCCTCAAATATTTGATCTAAAAATCAAGGTTAAGTTGATTTGATTTATTCTCTCCACTGGACAATGTGTATTAATGCTGGAATTAGCTCAAGGTTAGTTTTCATTTGTAGTCCCATTGTTCATGTTTTTAGTGGATGGTGAAACTGGAGCCTCAGGCATCAACTCTGACCGCTGTGCCACCGTGAGAATGAGACAGAATCTGCAGAGAGCTGACTCCATGGAAGAATTCAGGTTTTTGAGCAGTAAAAACATCTGAAATGAAATAGCAGACCCCATCAGAAAAGTGGCGCCACCTGCATGTCAAAGCCAGATCCCATCCTCTGTAGCAAAGCAGGGCATAGCCTGGGTATTACTCTGATGGGAGACCAGTGGCTGCGGCTGTAAAGCGCCAAACTGGAGTTGTGTCTTTAGGCAAGACACTTCACCCACATTGTCTAAAATGAGTCTGGTGTGTGCGTGAAGAGTTGGTGGTGGTAGGAGGGGTCAATGGCACATACTGGTTGCCTTGCTTCTGTTAGTGTGTCCCAGGGCAGTTGTGGCTTCAGCAGTATTTATGTATGTGAAACGTCTTTGAATGCTATATAAAATCGATACATACAATGAAAAGTTGCGCCTTTAAACACATTTTTAGCAAGTCTATTGTCTGTGTGAGGTGTATAAGGTGAAACTGGGAAAATGAAAACAAAACACCGGCATAAAATAAATTCAAACGCAAGCAATTACAACACATTCTGGAGCAAACAGAAAAAGTAAGTAGAGCTGAGACTGAAGTGTGACTCACCGAGCCGATATTGAACGTGTTGGAGCCGATGAAGGTGACGGCGTCCTCCAGGTCGTAGTTCTGCACCCCGTTCTGGAAGTCCTGGTAGGGCATGACCGTGAGCGCCAGCGGCCCTACGGCGCTCTTACTCCTGTTGGTCAGTTTCACCTCCAGAGTCACAGCATCGCCCACTTTGCACTGCACTACCACGTCACAGTCACAGGGGGCGCCGTTCACCAGGACGTCTGCACACACACATGAGCAAGCACTGTCAGACAGAACCTAATGTCTCAACACTGATTACAGAGGCAAACCACCTGCTGGGGCCTAGCTAGAAACTGTACAAACTCTGTATTACGTTTGACTACTGTTGCATCTGCTTTCATTTGAACAAATGTGTGGTACTATTTCTGTAAGGGATTTTTTTCAATTAAAAACAATACATTTCAGCTAACAAACTGGCAAACCAAATGAGAGCCTCACACTGCTCTCCGTTTGGATAATATTATCGGCATTATCTCCGTTGTATCAAGAATAACTAATGTTCAGAAAAGGTCAAATAGGATTTTTGCAGGCGACCTGTTTGTTTGACACATAAACGACATTTAGATATGTCATGTAGGTTTTTTTGTGCTTTTAGGACAGAACGTTTAGAAACGCGCTAAAAACTGTAGTAGTAACAGAGTAAATGCAATTCAGATAATAATACATTATTGCACTATTTTAAAACACAATCTTCGTCCGCTCTGTCGAAATACAAGGGAAATTTGCAAAATAAATATGTCAACAATAAAACATTTGAAAGATTAAACATTTTCTGGGGTTGGACTGAAGATTGGAGCTTAGTTGACTCTCGGCTCTTTCAGGCACTGAGGGCATTCCTGCGTTGGCTTCATCTGTATTCAGTCGTGTCTTTGCCGACGATTATGGGCCCTATCATTGCCTTTCTGCTGAGCGATCAATAGGCTTTGGTTGGCCTAAAACACATTTATTGACATGAGTGAAAAGGCCTGGAGCTGCAGGTCTTAACCCAGATTGCATCCTACTAATCTCATGCATGGGTTAATTCAGCGCGGCCGTGAATAAGACCGTTGGAGCGAGTCCTTCACGCCGCACACAGCAGGCGCCATATCTACCCAGACACCTGACATCCCACTCTCCACAAAACACTGGCAACTTCCAGCCTCATGTTGGCAAGAATACAGCCTCGTAAATCAGACTCGATGGCATTCTGAAACCAGTCATTCTAAAGAGGTCTAAGCAAGCAGAAAGTACTTGCCGACAGATTTTGAAAAACAATTTGACAAAAAGAAGGGAATAGACTCCGTGCATCATCACTCCCTGGATAACAGTAAAAAGTAATTGAAAAGTAAAAGCAAAGACAAAGGTTTTGTCAGGGGGTAACGTTTTCAGCAGTGTTTATCTGTTTGTCTGTTAGCAACACAACTCAACTTGTCTGTTTGTCTGTTAGCAACACAAAAATGTATCAAGGGATTCTTAAAACGTTTTCAAGAAACCTTCTTTTTGTAGAGAATAGTTAGAGCTCTCAGTGTGTCTGTGAAATGTACCTAATGAAGAAAGATTACTTACTTCTAGCTTTTAATAGCATTATTATGTCATGTCATTAAGAAGTAATGACATGACATAATTTGTAAGGATTTAGAATGTATATTGACAATTGTTTGAAAAGGGAAAGAAAAATTATGAAATGAATAATCTAGGAAAGAAAAAGTTGAGTGTGTCCAGAAGTGAAGGTTGTTTTAGACATTATATTCTAAAGAAGACATTCTTCTTTACTGTTAAAGTCTAAAATCTACTTGTTTGAGCTTGTAACCATATTACAACATTGTACCCTCCTCAAAATGGGAGTTGTTCTAGAAACATCTGGCTCAAACATGTAACTCCTTCTGTCTAAACGCTCCTGTCTCAGTCCTGTTATAGTATGATGACATCACGCCCAGAGCTATTGCCCATTAATTAGTTTAGTCAATTTCACAGACGAATTTAAGTTCTTTCCAATAATATGGCTGTGGTTGCAGATGGTAATTTTAACATTTGTAAAGAAAACCAAAACAAAGTTGGCACCTTCCTCTGGCGGTGGCACAGGGATAGGGCAGGCCAAAGGGATTTTTTCCCTAATTTCACCATATTTTCCAGTGAATATAAGTAAATATTCAAATTTGAAAGGCCAAAAATAATTCATACCATGGCATGGATTATATCTTTGTTAAAACAGCTAGACATACGTTTTATTTCGACTGAGAGTAAACCCATTATTAGTTGATCTCTTGCTGTTTTTGTATTTTATTTGCAGACCCTCTTATGTGATTTATTGGAAAGAACGCGTAGTGGGTTGTCATTGCTGGGTATGGAGAAGCGAGTCCAATGTTAAGTCTTCACTCTACCGTCGTCTGTAAGGACATTGAACGAGTGGAGAGGACACTTGACCACATGGAGTCTGCGAGCACAGGTCTGTCACGCACACAGAGCTCACCACAGCTGCCATCCTCACTGCGTCACACCCAGAGGGGAGCACTCACCCACAACACGTCACTGCTGCTATGAGCGAGAGAAAGGGATAACGCACACAGAGATATCACATTACTGCTGTTTGGAACTTATAGTAGAATGCAAAATTGTACGGGATTTGAAATGTTTACTTCAATTGCAATGTATTTTTGCATTGCCCTAAATCACAACAGTAGTTATCTCGGAGGACTTAACAAAATCGTTAAATTCAGCAAAACGGATCAGAGAATCAAACGGTTCAAACAGAAGAAATGCAATTGACAAAAAACACAGAGCCATTGATACAAAAGGGGCAGATGACCAATGTCCATACATTTTGCTAATCGGCAAGGAAAAACTCTAAAACGTTTAAAAACCCTTACTATATTCATACAAACTATACTTTTACAGCCTATTTCTTTTCTCGCCACTAAATAACTCTTACATAACGAGAAATTAACTGACACTGTTGCTACTACCACCACCACAACTACTACTACAACTAATACTACCACCACTACCACTAGTAGGAGTGGGAACCTCAGGGTACCTCCGATACGATACGATGTGCAATACAAAGCTCACAATAATGATTATCTCAAGATATGACGATTAACAATATATTGCAAAACAATAATATTGCAAAACAAACAAAAATATACCAACAATAATATTTTTCTTATATTTATGGCATTAATTAAGTGAAAAAATACACTTTATTTCAAGATAAATGGATAAAGTATCAAGTGTAACATTAAAGTGAACAAGCAAAAATGCCTTTGAACCTGCACATTTTAGGTTAAAAGGCATTTACATCCAATAAAATCAATATGAACATTCTAAAGAAATTGTAGAATGCGTAATGTAGCCATATATTAAGTATTGACTTTTTTTTCAAATAAAGCTTAATTTTATTTTTTTTAAATAAGTTTTGAAAGTATCACGATACATCACCATATCGATATGTTGTCACACTCCTAACCACTACCACTACCACTAATGCCACTATTACTACTACTACAACTACTACCACCACTATATATATTCAAGATACAAAAAATAAAACAAAAAGAATAAGAGACCCTAATTCTGCATACACGCACACACTTTTGTGCTGGTTGATTTCTTGTGTCTGTTGCAAAACAAATAGCTGGGTATGGAGGTACTATTATTATGTAGCCAACATCAATAACTAAATGCAATTATAAAATGAGTTATAAAAAGAACTGCATTTTCCCACTGACGTGACTTTATACTGAGGTATGTTGCTGTCATGGAAATAAGACAGAAACACCATCGTTACAAAAACTTATTTATGGTTGTTACATGGTGCTTACAAGATTCTGACTGGACTCTGGTTTGGATTCATGCCGTGATAATACGAATCATTGTATGGGCTCGAAATATGGGACAAACGACAGCAACGATAAGGACGCCAGGCTGAAAAAACAAAGTCTTCCACACATCTGAGGTAAGTTTTTAATCGAAATTCTGAAGTGAAACCCTCAAATATGGAGTGTACGAACATGCTTGAAATGGCCAAAATGTATCTAATTATTTCTGTATAGATTAAAAAGAATGTAAGCAGTACTGCAGGGCTGCTCTGTGCACCTTTTTAGTAAACTTTTAACAACTTTTTAGCGCGTTTTTATTGTTCAGTTTTTTAATATATCTGAGTGTTTTATCTTTTTAATTCAGTGGTTTCAGCAAATAGCACTTAGTCCCGACTGAAACCCACTAGTAGCACAGAGGCTAACACAAGCTAACGAGGACATGGAAAGTGACAATGAAATTGGCTCAAACATGCACAATATTAGTCGCCTCACCTTGGAGCTCCGTGAGAGCGACCGTGCCACCATTGCAGATCTACGAAAAGAAGTCCTTCGTCTCACCGCAGAGTTGAATGAGAAACAATCTCTAGTATCCAAACTTTTTGAAGTCGCTGGTGGGCAGCATTCACGGCTGATGTCACTGAGCGCTGCATATTGTGACACTGTCGTGTGGGAGAGATCCGTCAGCTCCGGACCCTCCTGTTCTACACCTAAGCGCCCGCTTACGAATAACGAGCCCGCGGATTCCGAGGAGCCATCCTGCGCCGTGGCCCATGTCCTGAGTCTGGCAAACCGCTATGCAGCCCTCTCCACTGACATCCCGGCCCCCTCAGCAGAACCCCTGGACACTGCAGCAAACTCTACTGCTCGAGGATCCAAGTCCACTGCGAGGAAAACGCTCCTAAAGGAAGCAGTCCTCAGGCGAAAGAGCGGTCCACCAGCCATGTTGACCCCAGTGCAGCAGCCTCGGACTGGGGTAGCTAGCCATCATCACCACCGCTCACCTCCACCGGGTCAGCAGCAGCGCCCAGAGCCAGCCCCTCTCACCGCTCCAGCGTCCCCGAGCACACAGCGTGGGTCGCCGGTAGCTGAGAGTCAGCACCCCCGCTCCTCCTCTCCATGTGTTCAGCGGCGCTCAGGCTCGGGTCCTGCTTCGGGTGAACCCGCTGGTTCCGTCCACCGAGCTCCTTCTCCGAGGCCACTCTTCGCCCCGACCACTCTGATTATTGGAGATTCCATCGTGAGACACGTCCGCTTCTTTAACGCGGTCACTCGCTGTATTCCCGGAGCTACTGTACCAGACCTGCTCATACGTCTCCCTCCTCTGCTTCAGTCCCTGCCTGATACCGTTTCCAAGGTAGTCGTGCATGTGGGAATTAACGACATGAAACTTCAGCAGTCAGAAG